AGGTATGCGCGAATGACAGGTGGGTGAGTCTGCTTTCAAGTTCCCCTTGTGTTTGTGGGTGCCAGCACCAGCAGCTAAGGAGGGCATAATATGGCATATTTTTATTTTTTGTCTATAGGGAATAATTGTCATGTGACTTCAGAACTTCTTGTTTTTCCTTTTATATATTGAAGAACTAAATATTAAACAAACAGAAAAACAACAAAAAATAGAAACTGAATGATGCATGCCTTGTTGACCTTGTGCTCTCTCCCTTATCTTTTATCCCTTTGGAAATAGGCATCAGGGCAATAATATCGTTACACGTTGGGTGATAGTTTATAGACTTGTTTTCAAGACTAGCAGCCCTAACTGTCTTCAAACCCTCTATTTTGGGAAGTTAATTTAGTTGAATGGTTTTGTGGAAGCTAGTTGTGCATATGAAGAAATACTTTCATATCATGGATGCGTTGTAAATAGCAACACAGACCACTGTTTAAAATCCTAAAAATATTTGTGATTCATAACTCAAAGTTGTTTTCTCTGAATCATTTGTAAACTTTTCCGTAGTCTGCAATAGATAGATCAGAATGATCTACCCTCTATTTTTGCTGTCAGACATTTCTTAGCCCTAATAAAAAATATTTGTGAATCCTACACTATGAAGGTTTCACATTGACTTTATAGGAGGGATTGCCCACATACATGTGATTCGTAGGTAAATGTTTCTTTTGTCTACAATAGAAATATGATGCAAGTCACAAATGTGAATCACATGTATAATTTTAAATTTTCTATTAGCCATATTAGAAAAGTAAAAAGGTAAAAATAATATATTTTTAACCTAATATATTCAAAATATTATTTCAACATATAATCAGTATGGAAAATTATTAATGAGTTTTTTTGTATTAAATCTTGAAATCTGAGGGATATTTTACACCTACAGCATATCTCAATTTGAACTAGCCACATTTCATGTATTATATAGCTGCATGTGACAGGCAGCTACTGTATTGGACAGTCCAGGCCTACTGCAAAAGTATCTTCATAATCTGGATCAGATTGTAGAGCTTTTTCTTGAACTCCTGACTTCAGGTGATCCGCCCGCCTCGGCCTCCCAAAGTGCTGGGATTATAGGTGTGAGCCACAGCACCTGGCCCTGTAGAGCTTTTTCTTAAAGCTTTCCTTACTGCCATGTGTAATCCCTCTGTGTCGGTGGTCCTACCTCCCCAGCCCTCTTCATAGTCTTTCTCTACTTCACTTCTGTCTTTATACCATCTTGTACTCTCTTTGACACTTCCTCCCTTTTATACCACGTATCCTCTCCTCCTTTCTGTCAAGTTCTCTTGCATATTTTGCTGAGATTCTGAGGAGAGAAAGTTCCATTAATAGTATGGTCTCCTACCTCCACAAAAAAAAATGTGTTTCCAGGGAAATGTAAGCTGATCCCAATAATATCAGTAACCTGGGGAAATGAAGTTCTTCCTCCTCTTGGAAAAGAAAGGAATCTCTGATGACAGTGGATTGTGAATGATATAGGAAAAACTGATCAGAAGTGTGTAACACGTAGCATTTTTTTCATGAAATGTAGAATAAGAATTAGCTGTTTTGCTGTTAATAACACTGTTAAAGATCAGTGTCAGAAGCCAAATGTTTAACAGCTACCTCGGAAATGGGTATAAGTATACAAGTTTAGTTTTGCTGACTAGGTTAGAGCAAAGGAGCCTAACCAAATTTTCTTGCCAGACTATCCTGTCACATCCTTCCTTTTTATAGCCTTTTTTCCCCCCCTTTTTAAGACAAGGTCTTGCTCTGTAACCCAGTCTAGACTGTAGTGGCATAATCTTGGCTCACTGCAGCCTTGACCTCCCAGAATCAAGCTATCCTCCCACCTCAGCACCTGCCCCCTCCAACCCAAGTAGCTGGGATTACAAGTATGTGCCACCATACCCGGCTAATGTTTTATATTTCTGTAGAGGCAGGGTTTTGCCATGTTGCCCAGGCTCCTGGACTCGAGCAATCCACCTGCCTAGGCCTCCCAAAGTGCTGGGATTACAGGTCTGTGCCACTGCACCTGGTCTACAGCATTTCTTAGGATTTGTATGTTTCACAGTGTATTTTTTTAGCCCCAATTTATAAACGTACAAGAATGCAATTCCTTGTTTTGTTTGGGTTTTGCAAAGTAACTCACAGTTAATGCCGAAAATGAAGAAAACAATTTTACGATAACCTCAAAAAGAATAAAACCTAGTATGTTAGGTTTAATTTTATATATGAATACATTTAACAAAAGAGGTATGAAACTTACACTCTGAAAACTATAAAACATTGTTGGAAGAAATTAAGAACTTAAGAGAAATGGACAGACATCCCATGTTCATCTGCTGGAGAACTTAATATTGTTAAGGTATTTCCCAATTTGATTTACATATTCAGTGCAATCCCAGCAGCCTAGTTGGCAGAAAGTTTTTGCAGAAATTGATAAGCTGATCTTTAAATGCTGTGGAAATGCAAGGTGCCCTAAATAATCAAAAGTAATTTTGAAAAGAACAAAGTTGGAAGACTCAGGCTTCATAGTAAACTTCTTGATTTCAAAGAGTACTATAAAGCTACCGTAATCAAAACAGTGTGGCGCTGGCATAAAGATTGACTTGCAAGTTATTGCAGATTCCTTGTGTCTCTGGCCTCTGAGTTATTCCGAACTGTTAAGACTAATCTACTCTAGACATTTAAGAATTTGTTAAAAGTTTAGCTGATATCTTCTTGCCCACTTGCGTAGTGGTCACTTCTTCCAGGAGTCTGCCAAAGGCAAAACAGTTCATGTATTCTGTTACTCTTTGGGAGAGACTTGTCATTGTATGGATTTTAGGATAACCAAAAAAACTGGTTATCTTAAACAGTTTCTTACTCAGCTCTCTGGTAATCTCAAGAAAAGTTATGATTTTATAGATCATCTGGTCTTTTCTCTTGTTACAGTGGGAAGAACATTCTCTTCTGCTTTCTGTATCCTAAGCAGAGTGGCACTAATATGGCGTTTGGCATGTAACAGATTTAGCATTCAGTTAAAATTTGTTTAAAGTGGATTAAATTTACTGAATAATTATGTGTCAAGCAGCATGCTAACCACTTATATCATTTAGTCCATGTACCTATCAATGAGGTGTAGGTACTGTTAGTATTCCCATTGTTTAGTGTAAAACTGAGGCTTAGTAGAGAAAAAGAAATGGAGGCACAGGAATAAATAATAATTTTTACTGTTACTACCCAAGTCACCTTCCTCCTCCTCCTCCCAATAAAACTCTTCAATCCATTTTTCAGCTTCTCCAAGGAGGGGAGATATATTCCTGGCATTCCAAGTTCTTATTTTCCTCATTTGATGGAAAAAGAGACACATTATTAAAACCAGAGAAAGCTTGGAGGGACCTGGTTAGACTTCTGGTCAACAGAGAGAGAGAGAAAAAATTAAGGATCTGGTGGCCTTGGGTCAACAGTGTCTAGGTTTTGTAACAGGTAAATGACAAAACAACTCTCATGGCTTTACTGCCACTTTCCACTTTCCCATTTTCTTTTTTTTGCTTCCAGTGTGAAGTTCAGCTTTTTTTTTTTTTTTTTTGAGACGGAGTTTCACTCTTGTTATCCAGGCTGGAGTGCAATGGCGCGATCTCGGCTCACCGCAACCTCCACCTCCTGGGTTCAAGCAATTCTCCTGCCTCAGCCTCCCGAGTAGCTGGGACTACAGGCGTGCACCACCATGCCCAGCTAATTTTTGTATTTTTAGTAGAGACGGGGTTTCACCATGTTGACCAGGATGGTCTCGATCTCTTGACCTCGTGATCCACCCACCTCGGCCTGCCAAAGTGCTGGGATTACATCCCATAAATTGTCTCCATCTCAATTCCTATAGGCATTTCTCTGCACTTTAAATGATGTTTAGTACTTCTGACATTGTATTAGAGAGAGACTAGGGTGGATAGTGTTTAATAGTGTGAGCTTCAAAGCCCAACTGCCTGAGTTTAAATCGCGATTCTGGTGCTTATTGACCATAGACGTATTTCTTAATTGCTCTCAGATTACAGAACATAAATCAAAAGTAATGACAACTATGTCTTCAGGTTGTTGTGAGGGTAATGCAAATTAATGTACTGAAGTGCATGAAACAGTTTCTAGCACATGGTCAGCACCCAATAAACATAGCTAATATTATGTTATTACTATTTTCACGTTTATTTTTATGTATATATAGTATGTAATTTTATGTCAGTATTTATAAATAAACTGTGGTATTGTTTATTTCGCTATCAAAAAAAAAAAAAAATTGAGGAATTGAGCCCCTGCGCCCGGCGAAGTTCAGCTCTTTTTATGGGATGGTAGAATTTTAATTCATTACCTCCTTTATTAATTCCTTCATTAGCTTGCTATGTGCGCATTCTTTAAGATAGGTCTCAAGCTAAGGACATTAAGTATAACTACTTGTACCACTTAATTTGTCTTAACAAATGCCTTTATAATCTGTCTCTTCACACTTTAATACATCTAACAAAAAGTGAAGTAAAAAAGTTTTCTTGATTTTTTTTTTTTTAATTGTCTTCATTTTTGTTGGCTTCCAGAAAAGAAACTATGATATGAGCCTGGTTAGAAAGCTCAATTAAAACAAATATTATTAATTAATCTCTTCAGCTATTAACTGAGTGTCAGTTTCCAATATGTGCCATTTATAACTCACCACAGTATTCAGTTTGTGTTTTCTCATATCCTGGTTAGAGATGCAAGTTGAGTTTCATGCACTGCCTATCTGCTGGAATTTTAACACTTTTTCAAGTATTCCCCAGGTATAGTATAAACTGGGTGATAAACACCTGATCAATATTGTATCTATGAATAGAGTTAATAGAGAGACCATGCCAAAAGTTGAGGAATGGGAACATGTAGAGAAAAGAGGTGATTGTTTATATACAGGAATGTATTTTGTAATAGCCAGGTTTGATGTAACCAGCATTTACATGCTTCTTCCTTTCTAGTTATCAGGGAATACGAAGAGCAGAGAAAGCATCCAGGAACCTAGATTTGATTACTACAACCATGAAGTTCCTGATATTGACCTCAGTGATTGTGAATTCCCACATGTCATTGAAATTTATGACTTTCCCCAAGAATTTCGTACTGAAGACCTTCTTCGGATTTTCTGTAGTTATCAGTGAGTATGCAAATGATTGTGGACGTTAGGGAGGGTGAGATGAAGTCTTCAAAAAATATTTTCTGAGAAATCATTTCTTGTTTTACATATCCTGTTTTTTATATTTTAGCCTCAGGTTGGTTTATTCTTTTCCAGGTCCAGTAGAAATTAATTAAACTACTGTTCTAAGTTTCTTAAAAATGTCAGGTAGCCTTGCTAGCCCCCATTTTAGCATTTAAGAAGACTATCATCAGTAATGACTTCATGGTGCATTTAGTCCATTAATATTTATTGTAATTATTGATATATTTACATGAATTGTCAGATTGCCTGTCATCTTTATGTGTTTACTTGTCCTGTCTTTTTCTTTCTTGCCTTCTTTTGGGCTCACTGCAGCCTCAACCTCCTGGGCTCAAGCAGTCCTCCCAGCTTAGCCTCCCAAGTAGCTGGGACCACAGGTGTGTGCCACCATGCCCGGCTAATTTTTTTTTTTTTTTTTTTTTTTGGTAGAGACAGGTTTTCACCATGTTGTCCAGGTTGGTCTCAAACTCCTGCACTTAAGCCATCAGCCTACTTCAGCCTCCCAAAGTGATGGGATTACAAGTATGAGTTACCACACCTGGACTCAACTAAGTTTTTATAAACACAATAACTCTTCTTTTTTATGGTCCTGTTTCATTGGTTTAATTTTATTTAATTCCATGGTGAAAATATCAACTCAAACTGATGTAAGTGGGTTTGAGAACACTTGCACTAACCCTTCATTTGTATGTAGCTGATACTTATATAGGAGAAGTTAAAAGAGAAGTATACCTCTGTATATTTAGCTTATGAGAAAAAATAAGCTTTAGGAATAAAGAGATGATGATCTAGAAAGAAAGTTATTAAGAAGATTTTCAGGGTCCAGAAGAAAGTATCAAGAAGGATTATACTGTAATGTTTCAGTCCTGATATTTTAAATGAGCCAGGTCTATGTTGTCATATAACAAATTTAAATTTAAAATTCATCTTGAATGTGTAACATTCTGTATAAGTTCTAGATTATCAAAAGTTAAGGGCTACAGTATAACCCTTAACTTCTTCTTAAAGGATAAGTAAATATTTTAGACTACTCTGCCATTACAATACATAAATGAGCATGGCTGTAAACTAAAACTTAATTTATAAAAACAAGTGTTCTGTTTTTATATGAAGTTCTAGAACAGGCAAAACTAGCAGCTATGTACTTGTTGTTTAATCAGTTAAGCAGAGAGAACATCAGTTCTATAACTGACAAAAAGAAATGGTGAATGAATCCTGGAGGATAGTTAATCCCTGCCATAAACTTTAAACGTCTAGGTCAGTCTTATTAGAATTAGGTTAAGATCCAGGATCAGAACCTGTTCAACATAAATTTCATAATAGATTTTTTAAAAGCAGTCAGTGGGATCAAATCCCGTTAGAACTACCTTAGACTGTCATTATTAATAACGATGATTCTTAAAACCAAGGATAATTTTATTGATGTCTAGAATTTCCTGAAGATTAGTTAACTCTTACAAACTGTTTACTTCCCTTTGCTTTGTTTCTTGATAATCTTACCTGTAAGATCATTTTTCTCTCAAATTCAAAAACATTCCCCAAAGAGAATAATTTTAAAGGATTATGAATTTTTGAAGTCTAAAAGGCCCTCTAGAACCCATCTGTGATTTATAAAATGGAAAAAGAAAAAAAGGTCATGGTACAAAAGCCTATAATAATGCCTGTGAGTCAAATTCCAAAGTCAACTTCATGTTTTGATCACCATTTTCATCAATATTAATATTGATGAACATTGCTATTAATAATAAAAGTAATTAACACCATTGATTTATTAGATGCCTATGAAGGGCCCAACACCATCTTCTTTGGCTTGTCATGGATGATCTCATTTCCATTTTCACAACAACTCTGGGGAGCATACTTTGCTCATTTCTACAGATAAGCCGAACTAGCTTCAAGAGAGATTAAACTTGCCCAAGGTTTCAAGGTGGCAGAACCTTGAGTCCATGAGCATTTTTAAGCTCTTAGCTGAAAAAGATAACTGTTATATCATCATCCTGACATTCCTTGTGCTCACTCGGTAGCTCTTCTCTCTCTCTCTCTCTCTCTCTCTCTCTCACACACACACACATACACACACACACACACACACAGTGTTTTTCTAGTACTTACATGTTCATCCTTTTGATCCTTTCTAATCTGGTCTGGTATTTCTCTTATCATGATTTCCTTTATCCTGAATTTTTCTGACTTTGCCACACAATTCTTTTCTATTTTTTCTTATTTTTTTTAACCTCCCTTCTGCAAAAAGTGAAGAATAGATCAGCCTCTCTGCTTATAGTTACCCCTTTTTCCCCATTACTTGACTTTTAAAAAAAATAAATAAATGACATCTTGCAGTATAATCTCTCTCTCCCCACCCCATTCTCTCATTCTCTTTCTGTCTCTGTCCTCAAGGACAGAGTTTACATTTGCATTAAATCCAGGTGACCTTCCCTGCCTACCTACTCCTCTTATATTCTACTCCTCCTCTGCTTCCCCTTTCCATTTCTTCTCATTCCCTGCCCATAAGAACATGTCTTGTAAATAGTGCATTAAATACTTTACATCCCCAAGGGACTTGTGAGGATTAATTAGTTGATGTCTATAAAATGGCTGAGAACGTAAAATACTCCTGGGTAGTTCTTTATGATGGTATTATTGCTTTTAAAATTCAATGGCTTCTTCTGTCCTCCAAGCTGTTTTTTGTGTCATTATCCCCATTCCACCTGTGCACTCGTTGAGTGTTTCTATCTTGTGAAATGCTTTATGAGATTCTATTTGTGAGATGTTTCATAAAGGTAAATTTCATTTTAGGAAATAAAATTTTTTTGTGTGTTGCAGAAAGAAAGGATTTGATATTAAATGGGTGGATGATACACATGCCCTAGGAGTATTCTCCAGTCCAATTACAGGTATTCACCCATTGGGTTTCAATCTTCCTTTCTTACTGTTCATTTTCTCATGCTATTTTTTCTGTTTCCCTTCTATTTGAGCAAGTTGGCATTTTACTCAGCCAGTGTAGGCAATAGGGCAGATACTGGTTTTTTTGAGGTATAGTACTTTGGTACCCATTCTCCCTTTCCACCTTAGTTCAGCGGTATTTGGAGAGAGAGAGTCAACTCCTTCCAAAGTCATTTGTACATGTAACTGTCAGTCATGATAGTATGTAAACAGATTAAGGTAGAGATTTAAGAATCCATTGGGGCTAAATCTTAAAATATTGGTAGTTTTTTTCCCCCACCATCCCAGGCAAGTGAATTTAAGTAGCCCTTTAACTTATCTAGTAAGAAATTGTAACACATACTCTCTGAATAGATGATTGGGCCTTGTTATATACCATTGACCTCATGATAGATCTGATATAGTGGCATTCAAAGAAAGTAGAGGTGTTGAAATGTTGGTTTCTGTCTGAACCACCTAGAATATGGGTCTGCAGAATTATTCTATAAAGGCCCAAATAGTAAATACGGTATTTTAGGCTTTGTGGAGCATCAGGTCTCTGTCACTACTGAACTCTGCAGCCATAGACAACATACAAACCAAATGGGAATGACTCTGCTTCAGTAAAATAGTAAAATTATTTTGTAAATAAATATAAAAATGGGTGGTTGGCTGGATTTGGTCAAAGAACCAGTTTGCTGATACCTGATCTAAAATAGTTACTGCCACATTGATCCTCTAGATCTTACTCTTTTGCTTGTTTTGAAAAAACAGCGTAACATATAGGAAATACCAAGAACTATCCCTAGTTTTTCCGTTGCGTCACTCTTCTTCATGTCTTCTGCTTCCTTATATTTATTCCTCTTTGCAGCTCGTGATGCGTTGGGTATTAAACACACCATGGTGAAGATTCGTCCCTTGTCACAGGCCACAAGAGCAGCCAAGGCCAAAGCTAGAGCTTATGCTGGTGAGTCTATAATCTCTGGGTTTTTTCTTGTTGATGGTGGTATTGTTCTTTCCAGCAATTTATAGCATCCAGACATTTAAAGACATATCACTTTTATTTTTAGTGTTAAAATAAGTATGTTTTTAAGAAAAAAAATAAAAGAGAAATGACCGTGTTGGAAATATGGCATCTGAGCAGCCACTTGGAGAGTGTGAGAACTAACTATAGGCAATGCAGCAACCAGTTTCCGATGACATCCCTACCTAGTTTACCTCTGGGTTCAGCTGCCTGATAGAGTCACTATAAGAAATTGTGTTAATGCAGATAATGAAGCCAGGGTTGTTTGTGCTTTGCCATGTTAATTTCCTCTGATCATCATCTATCAGGCTTATATTAATTACTGCTGATGCAGCCCTTGTTAGTCTATTTTGTCTGTTAATTACTGAGTTAAATCACTTGAAGCTGGAGTGCTCTCTCTTCTTTTCTCCTTCCTACTTCCTCCCTTTTTCCCATTCAGAGTTCCTCCAGCCAGCAAAGGAACGTCCTGAGACTTCAGCAGCCCTAGCCAGAAGGTTAGTCATCAGTGCCCTTGGGGTTCGAAGTAAGCAGAGCAAAACCGAACGAGAAGCAGAGCTCAAGAAACTGCAAGAAGCCAGAGGTGAGCTGAAAGGATGGTGTTCTTCTCTAGTCCCTTAGAGCTCACTGTAAGGCACGTGTTTAAAAAGAAAAAAAAAAAAAGAATGAAGCACATTCCATTTTGTCATTGCTGTTTCCTAGAAGCCTCCCAAATGTATAGAAATTTTCATGCCTTATGTTCAGGAGAAGACATTTCAGGATTTGTCTGTGTGTTTCACACACCAGGACATCCTAATCCATGCTCCTCCTGTTGTTTTCCAAGTGATAGGTTTGTTCTTCTCAGCCCATCCATGGCTTTTCCTACAGTTTTCCTCTGAGAAAAGTTTTTCTGTGAAAACATAGTAATGTCCTAGGCAGAAAACATTTGCTGTGGTTTTACTGGGCCACGATTGCCATGATATTGCCCTAATGTTATCAAATAGTTTAGATCTGAGGTAGAAGACAAATTTAGGAAAAGCCAGCAACTGACATCGATGATAGCAACTGTGGGAGGTATTTGTCTTTTAAAGACAGTTCTGAGTGGCTCCATTGAAATACATCTAGATTTGCCTGTCTTCTGATTATTTTCTAGTATCCAAGAGTTCTCAGAAAAATACTTCCCCTGATCCACAAGCAGAGTTTTTCTTTCCTTATAGTTTGGAGTTGAGGTTAAAATCTGTCTCTCTCCTCTATAGGCTATTGAATTGTATGTAAAGACTTAGGACTACTGGGTGGCACTTAAGTACTTTTTATCAACTTTCAGGCTTTAGACAGTCTCATTGCCTTAGCCCACAATCTGTGGAATCTGTGAAGGCAATTTATTCTGAAAATTCCACTTACTGAAAAGTTAACTTCATTTTTCCATTAAACGAATTGAAGTTTCAAACTCCTTGTTTATTGCTGGTCTAACAAGGCCATTCATACTGCCTGTCCTTTCTACTTTGGTGATAGCAGGCAGCTTGTGGACTCTCAGCTGCACTGGCCAGATAACCAGTGACAGAGTGTGTCATGGCAGGTGCTAGAGTCAGAGTTGAACCCAGCTAATTTTTGAAACCTTAATTATTATAATGAGGCAGTTTTGATGGTTTCCAATTATTGTTTACTCAAGGCCTCCTACAGACTATAGAAACATAACCAGATTCCTTGGGTTTTTATAGATGGCAGTAACAGAACTAAAGATGAATGTGCAGTGTCCTTAATCATTTGTTAATTGGTTATCTCTGAAGAAATGATTTCTGTGAGATAACAGTGGTATCTGTAAAAGGGGATATGACTCCCTTTGCCATGTTATTATGCCTCTCTGTGGGTGTTTATCAAATGTATCTCTACGGATCCTGCAGCAGTTGTTTTGCGTGGATATCAGCTTGAGTATTCCCTTCTCTTTCTCTAGGTGCATCAGCATGCAGCTCCACTTGAACTATTTGTTTTAAATGTCTGGCTATTCAGTGATGCAATTAGAAATGAGACTGTTGGCTAAGTGGGGACCCTATTGCTTTTCTAAAGAAGGCCTTTATTCGTGAATAGAGACCCACTGTGATAAGTTCCTCCTACCTGCTGGTGCTGAGGCTGTATGGATTGTAGAGGACTCTTTATTGTGCTCCAGAGTGCTACCACTCTTTGTATCTGGGAAATGCATCTGGAAATTTTCCTAATGTATCTCTTTCTGGCATCTTTCTGTTTTGGGCAGATACTCATATACTTGCCTGCATGGAGCCCAGGCTTTAAAGATTTTTTTGTGTGTGTGGAAACTTAAAAGTACTGTTTTAGGTATTTAGACTCTGGAATCGCACTTCCTGGGTCCACATCTTAGCTCTGCCATTTACTGGCTGTGTGACCTTTAGAGGGTAGGTAAGTAACTTACTCACTCTCAAGAGGCTTCTGTTTTCTCATCCTTAAATGGAACTTAAGCGAGATAATCCAGGAAAGATACTTAGTGATCTTCAAAAAGCCTTAGGTACTCTCTTGCTCCTGTTTCTATAGGCCTGTAATGAGTTATATGATAGGTGTTAGCTGCTGTTGTTTTTATTAGTAACAATAGCAGTGTCATTATATGATGAATCCAGCACAGATTTCAGTGCATATTTTTGTCATTACTCTTATTTTAAAATCCCTATAATACGCTATTAGCTCCATTTGACATTCACTGAGCACCTGCCCTGTGCAGAGCTTTGTGTTCCCTGTTTAGGAAAATTAGAAAGATGGCAAGATTTTGTACCTCTTCTTAAGCTGTGCAATCTAGTGGAGATACCTGCTTTGAGTAGGGAAGAAAATATGTACCTTTTTTAGGTATTTTAAGCAGTTGTTTTTCCTCTCACTTCAGTTCTGAAGCTTTTAAGATTAAAAACCATAAAATAGTTTTTGTTGATTAAAAGGACAGGAAGGAAACTCCATCATAACTTACAGGTTTTGATGATACTGTGTTATGATAACTCTGCGATACCATCTTGAGTTTAGAGCTGACCCAGAGAAGTTAACTAGCTGGACTAAGGTCACCCAGCTGGTAAACTGAAAGAGAAGGCATCTGAATCTAGGAATCTCTGATTAAAACCCATGCTGCTTCTGTAATACTGTAATCCCTCTTGAAGGACTTTTGGGATTATTGACATTTTTCCCGGAAAAAAAAAATACTTACATAATACAATTGTTAAAGTCTGCAGGAATAAAGTATGACAAACTTCTTTTGTTAACTGTACCAATGATTAGCAGCTTTTCACTCTCAGAAAAATCTTCCTTAGGTCTAACTTAAATCTGCATGATAGTTTGAACCAGTATCCTCTTGTTTTTTCCTTAGTAGAAACAGAGAATATCTGTGTACCATTCTGTTCTAACAACTTTAACTATGAAGATTGTTTGGAAATGAGGAAATCTGGGCTCTGATAGGGCTTTTGCCATTAACTACCTGTGTGGCCATGGCCAAGTCAGCTGTGGACACACAGCTAGTTAACGGCAAAGGCCCTGTTAGATACCTCTCTATGCCTCCCAGCTTCCAGCAAAGTAGAATTACTCCTCAGCTTACCTAATCATAGAGAATTTTTTGAGCACAGCGTTAGTTAATATATATAAAAATGTTTGGAAAGTGCTTTTACAAATTTACGGGTACAATTATTGACATGACTGTTGAGAATTTAATGTTCATTATAATATGAACTTGTAATGGCAAATATGTATTATATACTGCCACTCCACTCTTCATCCATTACACATGGCAGATATTGCTAAATTAGTCATGATATTCTTTCTTGGTGAGTTTTGACGTGACCATTGCCCAATGGTCAGAATTAGCATGGGAATTGAAATCTGTATATTAACCTGTTATAATATAGTATGATGATCTCTCAGCCTTTCTTTCACCTGCCTGAAGAGTTCTACTGTCTGGCAACAGTGCCTGGTACATGAAAAGATACTCAATACATGTTCATTGACCAAATACATGGATGACATTGGTTACTCTTAATTTTTCTTTGTAAATCTTAACTCTACTCTGAATGCTTTTAAGTCCTCCATATTTTTTTTATAAAACCCAGAATGTGAAACCTTCCTAATCAATGAATGTTGAATTTGTGATTTTGAGTTTTAAGTACTTTTCTGCTATATTTTCCCCTCTGCTTTGATACTTTATTTATTTATTTATTTATTTATTTATTTTTGAGACAGGGTCTTACTTTGTCATCCAGGCTGGAGTGCAGTGGCATGAGCACACCTCACTGCAGTCTCAACCTCCCAGGCTCAAGCAGTCTTTCCACCTCAGCCTCCTGAGTAGCTGGGACTGCAGGCATGTGCCACCATGCCGGCTAATTTTTTCTTTTTTGTAGAGATGGGATCTCTCTATGTTGCCTAGGCTAGTCTCAAACTCCTGGACTCAAGTGGTTTTCCTGCCTCAGCCTCCCAAGGTGCTGGAATTACAGACATGAGCCACTGTGCCCATCCTAAAATCACATTTTAAAGACCAAACTCAGGGCGGGGCATGGTGGCTCACTCCTGTAATCTCAGCATTTTGGGATGCCAACGCGGGCGGATCATCTGAGGTCAGGAGTTTGAGTCCAGCCTGGCCAACATGGTAGAACCCTGTCTCTACTAAAAATACAAAAATTAGCTGGGTGTGGTGGCATGCGCCTGTAGTCCCAGCTACTCAGGAGGCTGAGGCAGGAGAATTGCTTGAATCTGAGAGGCGGAGGTTGCAGTGAGCCAAGATTGTGCCACTATACTCCGGCCTGGGTGACAGAGCAAGACTCTGTCTTAAAAGATAAAAAACGAAATAAAGACCAAACTCAGGAATGTATATAAAATTTTCCCATGTTCCACTCATCCAAATACTTGGTTCCCACCTAAAACTGGACATATAGATATCATTACCTCTCAGAATAAACTACCTTCTTAGTTTCAAAGCCTGCTACAATTTTATTTAATTTATTTTCATTTTATTCTTGAAAGTAGGTGATTAGTTGACTGGTTCTGAAAGGCCATTTTGGGTCACAGGGCTGAAAGGCAGAGTAAGTAAACAGTAATCTGCTCACCTCGTTTCATTGATTAAATCACCAAGAACTTCAAATCATCTCTGTAAGATAGTAATAAACTTAATCACAGTTGCTACCTTCTGAAAGCCCTTTTTAGGCTTTCCATTATTCTGTCTTAAAGAGCAGTGCAGCATTGCAGATTCATAGTCTAGGTCTTAGGGTATTTTTTTGGTGTCTTTTCTCCCCTAGTATCTGAAGATCATTTCTAACCACATCTTTTCATTTTAATGTGATTTTTTTTTCTGTGATAACAGCATTTACTCATTTTGTGGTGTCAGTTGCTATTTAATAAACCTATTACCTTTTACCTAGTTGAGTGATGAAAACATTAACCTAGGGCTTGCTAACTGATGAGGTTACCAGCTGTTGCTAAAATAAATAATACAGGGTTCCTTGTGTTGACACTTAATATATTGATAATTATTCTGCTTTCCAGAGTTAAATGCCCCCTTTTGGGATCCAGACTGCATTTTCCATATATTATAATTATATAAATATTCAGTAAACTTAAAATCTAAAACATAGCTAAAATTAAGAGGTTACTTAGATTACTTCTTGATCTGTCTGTGACTCTATAAAAGAAGGCAATTAGATTAGTTTGATCAGACATGTTCTTCATAAAGCATGTTGTTTATTGTTCTGTAGGTGGCTACAGTAGATTTTGTGATGATTTTTCATAGGCCTAGAAGTAAATTTTGGAAGTCTTTAATTTACATCCTCTTTCTTTACTTTTTTTTTTAAAAAAAAAAACATGAGACCAAACTGGCCCTTTTACAGTCTCCAGTGCTTTACATTCTCTTGAAAAGTAAAGTCTTGACTGCAAAGTCTTGTGATTGCGGTCAACTCATTTGATATAGTCGTTTCTGTTGATTTATTTATTATATTAGATAATGAAAGTTTTCCAGGCCAGCCTATGTGATTGTTTTAGGTTAATCATTTTGTGCTGAATTTTCTATTTTTTCTTAGTTCCTTGCCCTCATATCTGCCGTTGGGCTTTCTGTTTACTTAGTTGATTCTTTTTATTGTTGGAGGTAAAGTTAGTAGGAGCTTTCTTTCATGCAGTTTATCAGCTATTATCTGCTTTCCTTTCTCTTTAATAAAGGGACATGTTTCTTGTCTATCTGTTAATTTTTTATTTTTATTTTTTTCCCTTGTAGATATTTTCAGATGTCAGGATAGTAGACAGTGTGCTGGTGAAGAATTAAGGATCTGGGTTCCAGACTCAGTTCCATCACTGGCTGTGTAACCTTAGGCAAGTCACTTAAGCTTTTCAAGCTTCTGTTTCCTCATCTTTAAAATGAAGAAATTATTTCCAACCCTGACCTACATTTCTCTATTCTACTCGTGTTCTTGTATTTCTAAATTTACAAACCTCACATTTTCACTATTTCTTTGTGCTTCTCAATTTCTCTTCCTACTCTTACTAGTTTTTTTTTTTTCATATGACTTAACATTAGAATCTATTTACTTCTTTAGAAAGTGCTGGGAAATATTTCAGGCCAGGCACAGTGGCTCACGCCTGTCATCGCAGCACTTTGGGAGGCCAAGGTGGGCAGATCACCTGAGGTCAGGAGTTCAAGACCAGCCTGGCTAGCATGGCGAAAATCTGTCTTTTCTACAAGTACAAAACAATTAGCCAGGCACGGTGGCACGTGCCTGTTACTCAAGAGCTACTTGGGAGGCTGAGGCATGGGAATCGCTTGAACTCAGGAGGTAGAGGTTGCGGTAAGCCAAGATCACACCACTGCACTCTAGCCTGAGTGACAGAGAGAGACTCCCATCTCCAAAACAATAAAGGTTCAGAATTGAACTTTCCCGATTGTAGAAAGGTAATATGGTATCTGTGTTTCATAGCACCAAATCAAACACATTAATATTTCTGCAGCAGAAGTGTATGACTGTTTACATTAAATGGGATGTGTAAAGACTGTAAGTGGCTTCATATCATTTCAGGTTAGATTTGCCTCTATCAATGAGTTTTGGCCCCAAGCTTTAAAGAAAGCAATAACTTTGTTTTCAGAATTGTTTTGATTTTAGAATTGTGTGTTATGGGCCAGTCATATTTTTCTACTGCTCTTGGATGTCTGTTCATATTAGTTTAATGATTTAAGTTTCACACCTTATTGAAAATTTGGAATTCTAATAATTTACTGGTTTCTTCATTTTTCGTTGGAACATAGAACGAGATTTTGATTGCTTTCATCCATTGCGTTTGGATCCCCTCTTAACTTCTCCATGTTTGCAACAATCAAGACCATGCTGTCTTCCTAAGAAATTCTGGAATCCTTTCGACAAGCCATTTATCCTTCGTGTTGTCTCTTAGAGAACCCCAGTGCAGTTCAAGCCTCCCTCAGTTCCAGGGCACTCTACCAGCCTTCAGTTTGCAATTTGCAGACCACTGTTTTTTTGCCTCTTGTAACTTTCCTGCTGTATTCAGATAATGCCACAAGATGGTGCCCAAATAGCAGTGAATTTCTTTTTCTCACATTTCCAAGTGCCAGTCAGCTTCATAACCAACTTCTTTGCCCTTAAAGTACAGTCAAATGTAGTATAGGAATGTTGTAAGGGATTTTACTGATTAGGAAAGATAGAATAGCAAGTGTTTATTCTAAAATTCATCTTGATTTCTGTAATCTTGGTTCATGACTTGCCCAGTCTTATACAGACATTATAAATTTGGAACAATAACCCTTGGAAGGAAGCATTTAGGCTTACCATCTCTGATGTAGGTTTATCACCATTTTATGGTGTCAAGATAAATGACTAGCCATGAAATTGGAACTGTTATTGTGTCACCTAAAGGAGTGCTTGTGTCACCACAGTGCTGTGTGGTCTGCATTTTCTCAGACTGTGGTGAAAGTGTTAAATGGAGAACCAAGCTTCTATATTAAAAATTGAAGATGGATTATCCAGATTTGTACATTTTTTGTTTTTAGAAATAGTTTTAGTTTTCTCTATTGGAATTGTATATTCCAGAAGATTTCTGGCCCCTGGAAGTGGTCGGAAGTATTGAAATTTGGTTTGCCTCTGAAATATTTTTTCAATAAAGTTGTAGAATTTTTTTCAATAAAGTTAATATGAGTAAAGCCCAGGGGCTACCACTTCCATTTAAGCAACAAAATAGAAGAATATCAATAACATATTCTTCATACCTATTGAAATATTTATAATGATCAGTAAGCTGGGAATAACGGGCAATTGTGTTGAAGCACTAAACATAGTTGAAAAGTAGAATTTAAATATGTATTAGCAAGACTAGAATCTGAATCTTACTGGATTCTGACTTATTCCATTTACTTTTAGTTTCTGTTAGCCTCAGATGTTTTTTATTATATAGTTATAAATCTAATGACTTACAGTAGTTATCATTTTCGCTTACAAAGCACTTGGGAAGTGAAAGGAATTAACTCTTGGAATCAGCTAAGGGAGACCAGGATATCCACTTGTCTCATGACTAAAGTTTGCCTTGTAATTTGGATTAAGGGAAAGTCACTGGTTATATGAAGTAGACAACCACATTTAACACTGCTCTTATTTACAGAGAGAAAGCGGTTGGAAGCCAAGCAGCGGGAAGACGTCTGGGAAGGCAGAGATCAATCTGCAGTTTGAACATCACTCATTGAAAGGGATAATTTCATGAATCAGAAAATGTTTCCATAGTCTTCAGATAAGAGGATCTTTCCAGAGCTCCGACTACATGCAGATGTGCATGTTAAAGAGATAAAGTGATCAAGACAAGGACTGACTGGGTATAAGAGGAAGACAGACTCCTGTCTTCACTCCTAAATACAGTACTTTGGAATCACCCTACTATGGCGGGCACAGCAGGGAGCCATCAGCTAGGAAGAAACATGGAAGATGTGACTTCCGAGAGTCCCCTGGACACGGCAAGTCATGTTAGCGTGGGTCACACATCCAAGATGTTGAAAGCAAATACAAAACAGAACAGAGGATTTAAACCTGCAAGGATGGGTGATTTAGGCCCTCCAAAGACAGAGCATTCCTTAGTACCTCACAAGACAGAATAATACTGGAGGCAGAGTAGGGGGCGGGTAGGGAGCAGTTAGTACAAAGAGGCAGAACAGTGTCTGGTTTACTTGGCATACACAGAATCTACACTGCCAGTTCCAGAACTCCAGAGTTGGTGAACTATAGCAGATGTGGGTATTTAGACTCCAGAATTTATACTGAGCTCAGTGCCTGGGCTGCTGTAGCTGCATTGCAGCCAGGGGGCATGCCAGCTTCATTCCTCCGGGTAAACCAGCCTTGGGAGCTGTGTGCCAGTCCCAGTGTAAGCAGCAATACTGTGCTGTAAGAGGGAACATTAAAGCCCGTTTTATGACATGTACCACTCTGGCGTTTGTCGGTTTTTGTCCTTCCAACAAAGAAATAGAGAACAGCTTTCTTATCTTCATGCCTATAATGCTGTGCGTGGGTTAAATGGATCTGTTGTTTTTGTTGAATTCCAGTGAGTAGAGAATTGATCATCTCTCTGCCTCAGTATACTACAAAAGTGATTATCCTGGGACTGGTATATGTTAGCTCCTCTCCCCTTCATGTCCTCCTTGTGCACCCTCATTCCAACCTTTTTCTTGCCTTCTGCCATCTCTGCGAATCTGATATCCTGCAGAAGACATCTGGCACACCAGCATGTTCTTGGTATGATCTTCTCAGCCTATGCCAGAGGTACCTGGCAAGCAGCACCAGACCATCCGTTACAATGACGGGCAGCCAAGATAAAATAAACACCTCTGGGCAGTGAGAGATTTCCTAAAGGATGTGGACAAGTCAAAGCCAACAACTCAGGCTTTATCCATCTCCTGTCTGCATTCTCAGTGTTTTTGGAAAGTAGGTCTACACTGAAGAAATGGTAGCACGAGAGCTTAGGATGCTGATGTGGCAAGAAATAGGGTCTCATTGTGCTTTCAAGTAGGGCGACAGCCTCATTGTTTAATGATTTAGAGCCCATGACAATGATGGATTATTGGCATTACTTAGAACATGGTGGAGTAGGGCTGTATTCACATGTTTCTCAAATGATGCTGGTCTTGGATATTGGTCCTTACCTGATTGTCCCCGCTGCTATTCAGATATTTTAGCCCTCTCCCAGCTCCTCAGCATTGTTTTCCTCATTCTTGGTCAGTTCTGCTACTGTCCTTTGTTCACGTTCAGTGACTCTATGGCAAATTTAGGGATTAAATTTTTGCCATGGAAAGAACATCAGTCAAACAAGCCACTCGTCCCTATAGAGTTGTTCTTTTGACCCTCTGTCCACTAGTACTTTGTCCAAATGCCCCTCTCTTTGACCTATAACAACAAGACTTGTGCTCTCTGTCTTCATGGAACAGACTTACCTAAGATAGGTCTGTTTGAACAGTATGGCTCCCTTTGAAAGGAAATGCAGGGGATGGCAGCTTGACTTCATCCTGAACGGTAAACCTCTGAGGTTATACCTTTCCTCTATTTTGATTCTTCAAGGCCAAGAGTGACCTTGGGCAGTACAAAAGAGATGACTACTCCTGTCACTTGCCTATGAGGATGCTTCTTTCTGGCTACACTTTAGCTTTTAAAGGCATTGTTAATAGTAACATATAGCCCCATGTGTATTACCCAGTTTTCTTATAGTCTTGATGATTTCAGTCACTTACTTGGTTCTCATTCTAATGCTGTATGCTAGTAGCCTATCCTTTTTTTCAGCCAGTAGTCAGCCACCTCTGACTTTCAGGTTTATCCTTATAACCAGACCCAGAGAAAGGATTTTTTTTTTTTTTTTTTTTTAATTTTAGCCTACACTTAAATTATGGAGTGTTGCTGCTTCTACCAGTAGTAGAGAATGTGCTTTTTAGTTACATTACTCAAGTATTAGGATTGATGCACACTAGCTGGAGGTAAGGGCTCCTGCTATGGCCCAGCACAGACTATATTGAGGTTTTTAAGAAGGGAATTAAATCCTTGGGCACATCCAAGCCATGTTTTCTCAAGCTGAGTTAGCTGGAGAGCACCCTGTAGCTGCCGCTGGCCCCTTTGTTAGGTATTCAGGAAGACAGCCAATGCACTCTGCTGTGCATATGTGTTGAACATCTAAATCTCAGGATTACCTGGAATTTAGTAGAAAAGTACATTTCTCATGAGTTCTGATATGCTCTTCATAGAGTGAAAGTCTTTGTAGAATAAAGGTAAATTAGGCTTCTGAAGAGTAAGCTGACATTTTTAGCACCTTAGTTTCTCTGAGGCTAAAGTATGCTGAGGTGAAAGTCTTGTGACATTTTTTATTCTATTCTGCCTGGAATTTGGTGGTTAGTATTCTGTTAACATTCCTCATCTAGTTGTAAGTCATGCCAACCACCAGTCTTCCCATGTCCTTCCCTTTCAGCTCAGAGTCGTAACAGCACAACCCTTGTATGGCCTTTTCCAAGAATTAGAACTGGCTGCACCTATCAAACGTGTGATGTGGGCAGCAAGACTGAGACCAGAGCCAGTGGCTGGCTGCCTGGCCTGCTTTTTTAGGCCCTCTTAGAAACTGGATCCAGCAAGCAGCTGTGGGGAACCTCCCTGCCTGAATCTAGTCATCAGTCACCACATGCTCCCCTGCTAGCTGCACATTCTTTCACAGACCATTAGCTGCATGTGTGAGCATAATGTTGTTACTGTTTGGGGGATGTTTGCTGGATCCAACAGGAAATCAGTCCTTCCCTTGTTTACCTAAACTGCCATGCCAAAATATAATGCTCCCTCTGCCTAATGAAGGAGATGAGGGAGTTGAGAAGAGGGAAGGTCGGGGAGAAGGAAGAAAGCACTTCTTTGTATTCACAGAGGGTTCCCCAGAACATGTCCCTTTTTATTCCCTAAGGAGGGGGTAGCTCTTGTGATGTGGTGGGGGTAGTGCTATTGTAAATGTGCTCCATCTGCTACCATTTATTTTGGCTTTGCAGCTTTGATTATAAAAGGTTACAGTCCTCAGACTTTACCTTTCCTGCCCCTATCCTTCATCCTTAACCTATCTAACCTGTGTTTCAGCTCTGAGCCTGGGGAGGCTGGCTGGGAAGCAGGCTCATGTCTGATTGGAGAAATGTAGATGGGTAGTCATGAGAAGCATGTGTGCCCTGTGCATCCCAGGCCCTGGCTCCATGGGAGGGAAAGGGGCTGTGGTTCTGGGGTATATACATAATCACAGCTGGTCTGGTCTTTGTAGCAGTCCGTAATGAGCAACATTTATTGGCATTAGGGTGTTAGTCCTGTAAGGATCATCACCTAAGTGTGTCTCAGTGGAGAAAAGATCAAGAATCATGTCAAGAAGACCATGGGGTTTTATTCTCCTTGAGCGAGAACAAGTCACAGCCCCATCAGACAGGCATGGTGGCCTTTCCCAGGTTCCGTCCTTAACTAAATTGACTATTCCCCCTTCTGATTTCTCCATGGTCTTCTGGCTCCTCGCTCTGCCAAATTTGTCTTCATACCTCTATAGGGACGAGTGGCTTGTTTGACTGATGTTCTTTCCATGGCAAAAATTTATTGGATGCAAAGTTCACTTTAGACACTTGGTTGAGACTGGAAGCTTAGACCAATCCTGAGATACATGTGATCCTGAGAGAGATCAGACTGCCTGCCAGGTAAATGTTGCATATTTTTCCTTAGCAGAGGCCCTGGCAAAGGCTGGGGTGCATGTTACCTCAGCAGTCTTTCTGCTTGGCTTACTCTTGCTGCTCTGTAGGAAGGCCCTATCTGGCCATTTCCGTGAAACTTGCCCCTTCTCAAGCACTCAGTAACTGGTGGTGTTGGCCCATCAGGCAATAAGGGGATGCCCAAGGTCTGCACTTCTAAGGATAGCAGAAGCACCCGTGTGTGTGGTTGGATAAAGGTAAGGACACTAAAACAGACTGTTAGCAGAGTGTGAGAGGTGAGTTCTAAGTAACAACAGATGAAGAAAGGATTGGATCCACCAGCTTCTCTGCCAGTTGTGATTTTGATACAAGTTGTGTTGCTTTGAGCTCCCAGTAGAGAGCTAACACCACCAGCTATGTATTTTGGTCCTCTGTTCTATACTCCTCCAAGACATCTGCAAAGCACCACTTAGATGGGGCCATAGTCTGTCCCTAAGGAACTGAGAGCTCCAGGATCTCTGTGGTAAGGTTCAGGGTTGACTGCGTGTCCTTACAGAAGAGCTCAGCTGAGCAAAGCCTGGAGGCGATGTTCCATAGGCCACAGGCCCTTAGGGGACAGGTCCAGAGCCATCCTGAGGGAGCAGTACCATCTGGATTGGTGATCTTGCCATCAAGGCTTCCTGAGCAGGTTCTTTGTGCCCCTTGGCACTGGCCCTTTTCCTCTGAGTTGGGACTCTGTGAAGGGCATGGCTCCAGTAAGCTGAGGTATCTGGTGTATCGGCAGCAGGTAGGAGTGCGCGGTGATGGCTTCAGATGAGGTTGTTCCTGAGACGCTGTTCCTGCTCCAGGGAAAGGTCCGCATTGGCTGGGTATGAATTCCCTGTAGGCCAAAGGAAAGCAGGTAAATAGCCAGTGTTACCACAATCTCATCCCTTCCCTAACAACTTCACATAGATCCACTCTGCCCAGCTCATCCTTTATCTCAAGTCAGTCATGTCATGGGCACAGTCATTCTATAGAAATAGGCCTGGGACAGATGCCTGATTTCAGGGACATCGGGAAGAACAGACTATTGAATGGAAAGGGTTATGCTGGTTATTCTCCTGTGCCCTCTCCCCCATTCTCTGCCCTTTTTTTTTTTCTCTCTGTGCCCTGGGAAGCTAACCCCTGGCGATCACATCACTCTGGCTCCTTTGTCCTCTGTTTTTGGTTGAGTTGGGTCAATGGAAAGCAACAGCAGAAGGTCAGAGGGTGGAAGGAGAGAGGCCGGATATTCCTTCCCCTACTCTGGCCCCGTGGTTCTAACAGTGATGGTCTATGATTCTGCTCCAGCTAGGTTCACCCTCCTTCATGTCTCTGGCTCGCACCTGGCTGCAAAATGGCCCTTGCCCTGCTTCAAACCCAAAGCAGGTAACGGTTTTCTACTTTCTTTATCCTTGATGTCTCAACACCACTTGTTTCCTTTTAAATAGTCCTTTCATTAAATAACCTCAGACTCTCACCAAGTGTGCCTTCTGTTTTCTGCAGGGACCCTGTTGGGTCTCTGACTGGCAAGAGGACCAGCAGGACTGTATTGTTTCTTGCCCCTGTCACTGTCTGGGAACCCTTGCAGCCTGGTTCCAGCATTATGGAGGATCTGCTGTCTCCATGTGCATAGCCTTGGATTCCAGACTCAGTATCCCTGTTTCATTTAAATGGCAGCACAATCTACTCAGCCACACGAATTCAAAACCTTAGACTGTTCTTC